TCTCTCCCGGCCCGGAATCCCCCCGGCCGCCGTCCGCCAGAGCCGCACGCCCCGCCGGGGGTCCGCCCGGCGCGTCGGGAGCCCGCGGCCGCCGTGCAGGTGAGCGTCCCCCGGGCCCCGGGCTCCGGCCCTGCCCACTCCCCGCCACGGGCCGCGCGGTGGCCGCGGGGACCTGCCCGGCGCGGCCTTTTGTTGGGATGCTTGCGGGGGGAGACCGGGCGGGGCGCGGAGTCCGGGAGTGCGGGGTGCTCGGCTGCTGGGGCTCCGGCCCCGCTAGGCCACGGCTGAAATCTCGGTCGATCGGTGTAGCCTACGGCCGCTGCTGCCGGGCCCAGCGCCCCCGGCCCCGAGTGGGCGGTTGGGGGGTAGGGTGGGTGCGGGGCGCGCCTAGGGGCGCCGGGGCGGAGGCGTCCGACCAGCCACACGCTCTCCTTGGGTGTTGCGTGGGGGCCTCTGGTAGGGCCTGGTGCTGTTGCCCTGGAAGGACTGGGCCACACTGTCCTCGGTCCCCCTCAGCCCCCAGCCTCGCCCCTGAGCAGGCCCAGCGACTGGTCGGCTCAGAAGTTGGCAAAAGTTTTGGGGTTTCACCATCGCGACTAGGTCCACTTGCCCACCCGAACAGGTACCGGAGGTGAGTTTGTGCCCCCACCAGGGCCGCCACTTGTGCTGTGTATCCTGGGACCATTGCCTGCACTCTAACTAGTATTGCTGGGCTGGTTGGAGGGTAGAGTAACCGGAAGGGACTGATCCATGGGTATCCCTTAAGCCCCTTGGGGCCTTCAGACACAGGCAAGCGGACAGAGATGTGTGAGACTTGTGGGGCTCCGGACAAGGTCTCTGGAGTCTCACAGGCTGTTCAATAGATGCAGTAGTTGTGCCTGGGCCTCCTGGGTTGAGGTCAGACAGTTTCCAAGATGTGCCAGGGTCCCTCTTCTTATCCTTGGCTGTGGAGTCAAGGCACTAGAGCCTCTTGTTTTCCCCGGTGATCTCTGCCAAGAGGCTGCCCTATGGATTCCCCACATCCCCAGTGGGGTCTTTCGTGGACTGTTACTACTTGTGCTTCTGCAGCTGGGCACTTGGCATGTCACCTCAAGGGCTCAATAGATGAGTCCATCCTGGAACCTGCCCAAGATGGCTGGGGTATGAGGGTGCTGGCTGTGGCAGAGCCACCTGCAGAAGAGAGTGCCTTGGTGCCTCAGAAGGTGCCCCAGCGCCCCTCCAAAAGGAAACAGCTGACCACCCTCCTGCTTCCCACAGCTGTGTGAATTCAAGGAGTCCTGGGCTCCCTCTGGCCTCAGTTGGGTCAGGAATGAAATGAACAATTGAGCTGTGAGGGAGATCAGTTGTAGAGCTCATGCTTAGCATGCCAGAGGCCCTGGGTGCCAACCCCAGAACCACATAGATAAATCAGTAAAGACAATGGAGCTTGATGTCCACTGGACTCCGAGGGTATAAGGTTATGGGGCCTCAGAGAGCCAAGTGACTTGGCCAAGGCCCCACAGTTTGCAACAGGAATTAGAGCCTAGACTTTTAAAATTTTTAATATTTAAATATTTAAAATTTTATTTTATGTGTATGAGTGTTTTGCCTGTATGTGTGCCATGTGCCCGTGGAGCCCAGAAGAGGGTGTTGGCTCTCCTAGAACTAGAATTACAGACGGTTGTTAGCCACCGTGTGGGTGCTACAAATCTAACCCAGGTCCTCTACAAGAGCTGCCAGTGCTCTTAACCACTGAACCATCTCTCCAGCTCTAGAGCCTTTCTTTAGAGGTGCTCTCTGGCTGTCCTTGAATCCTGCAACAACATTGAAGGCTGTGTAGTATGGGGGTCAGGCACAAAGCATTGTTGGAAAAGTTGTGTACACTCCCCCAGCTCCCAGTGATTGGTGGGAGCCACCAGGCCCTTCTGGTGGATGCGGTTTGTCCTAGTGAGGTGGCCTTTCCACAGGGGGAAGTGACTTGTAGTGTGTTACCTCTCTCAGCTGACTGCCTGCCTTAGGTCCTGGGCATGTTATCCCTCCTAGCATCTCCCACTCTCTCCCCAGCCCCCCGACCAGTTGCATGTTGAAGCTTGTTCTTTTCAGGCTTAGGGGAACCCTACCTTTTTCAGGAGTCCCGCCCCACCCTCTCCTGTCTTCTGTAGTGTTGGTCCCCTCAACCTACAGCACATAGGCTAGCTCCTGCTTGGGCTTCCTTCCCGTCATCTGGGGATGGGAGTGAGTGGGGCATGTCTGGGTCCCCTAAGCTCCAGGATCTAGAGAGGGCTTGGCTAAGTGATCCTGTCCTCCTCTTCCCTCTGGTGTTCTGTTGACCCTGTCCACATATTGAGCACTCACTAGCACCTGTGAATCTGCACAAGCAGCTTTATGGTAGGAGGCTTGGCAGCTGCCTGGAGGAGGGTCCTGAACTGGGGGAAGGGGCCACCAGCCAGCAAAGAATGCAGCTGGGCAGGTGTTCTTCCCGTCTGCTCAAAAGGTCATTCGCCTGGGGACTTGCTAGGGAACTGTAAATAAGTCATTGGCCTCCTAGAAACTGGAATATGGAGGATGAGCCAAGTAGCAAATTGCTAGATATATTAATATATAATCATTGGTGTGATAAGAGCAAGGCCTGCGGAACAGAGAAATCTTGAAGGAAATGTGTAGGAGTTGGCCTGCCATGAAGCTAGGAGATCTACTTGCCAGGCAGAGGGAATTGTGTGTGCAAAGGCCCTGAGGTGGTGGGAGTGTGGCTGTTGAGGAGAAAGCTGTGAAGCTGGGGCCCTGAGAATGGAGGGCGCTGGGGAGAGGTCAAACAAGGCCTGTTATCAGGCCTGGGACCTGTAAGGGCCCCTGGGAGACCTGGAGGAGGAGCTTGGCCTCCAATTTTACATAGGGACTAATTGGTGTCCCCTTTGTGAACCAGCTTAAGCTGGAGGCCAAGGTACAGAGCTGATGGCATAGATATCTGGCTGGATGAGACTGAGCTTTGAAAGCAGAGTGAGAGTCCAACCCAGGAAAGCCAGGGAGTATGAGAGCCAGGGATCAGGAAGCACAATAGAGGATGGTAGTAAACAGGAATGAACTGGAGAGCAGAGAGAGTCATCCAGGGAGATAGAGATATAAGTGCTTGTGTGTCTGCTGGGCCTGGGTTTGAGTTCTCTGACTGCTGAGTGTCCTGCCTGCTGTGTCTTTGTAGCCTTCACTGGATCTTTCTGACAGATTCTTCATCTTGAAGATGGGGACAATACATCTCTTCCTTTCAGGTTAGGGTTAGGGAGGGTACTGTGCCCAGCATTAACAGATACTCAGAAAATGGAACCTGTTTACCCTGTGTGGTGTGGGAAGTCTGTTGGTCTCTTTGGGCCTGGGTTTGCCACTTGTGTGGCTGTGGCCTTAACTCTACAGTCTGAAGCTCCCTATCTAGGCAGGGCTGGTCTAGGAGAGGATGCCGGTAGTTAAGGGCACCTCTGTGCTGGGTGACTGTGAGCCCTGTGGTACCCTTTTCATGTGTCAGAAAGCTGAACAGGGACCATGCAGGTGAGATGGGCTGGCTTTCCAGATGGGAACTAAGGCTTAGAGGGGAGAGGCCACTTGTCTGGGGGTTCCTAGGTGACAACCACGGTCTACCAGTAGAATTCTGAATTCCACATCTAGAACTTAGTGCCCCTGGGGCCTGAGAACCCTTGTAGGCCCTGCATGGAGGCCCAGTTGTGAACCACAGCCTGTTTGAGGTCCTGCTTCTCTCTGGCCTTCTTATGTTCTCTTGTTGCTCTGCCCTCTATGTACCCCTCATTTCCCTGGGAAATCTCTCTGGCTTCCTGGGGAGAGGGTATCTTACCACCTCTAGAGAAGCCTCTGTTTCCTCATCCATGAAGTGGGGCAGTGACTCATGGCTCCCAGGATGTTCCAAGGGGGATGGAACATGATGTCGGGCACACATTAGGTGCTCAATAAATATAAGCAGGGCAGAGCCAGGCATGTGCTGAGGTCCTGCTTCCTCTAGGGGCTTGTCCCCCTTCCTGTGACACAAGGCTGATGCTGTAAAATGGGCTTTCAGCTAGTGGGGCTGAGGAGAGGTCCAGCTAGTAGGGCTGGTTCTACCTCAGTCCTCATGGGCCAGGAAGCCTGGTGTAGGCCACTGTTGTGTTCAAGGCCTTATTCTAGCTGTAAGCCTGGAGTCAAAGCACAGTCTCTGCTAACAGTTTTACCAGCTTGAATCTATAGGATGCTCTGTAAACTTTATTATATCTTTCCCTCCTTGAGAAAGGACAGGGAGTTGGACTTGGGTCCCACAAGCCTGAAGTGTTATGTTGAGAAACATTCTAAAGCCCAATGTTGGCTTCATGGGAAATAGTGCTGTGATAGATTAGTAATGTCTGCTCTGGA